ATCTACTGAGGATAAGGCTACTGTGCAAAATTAAATAAGTCAACCTTTCCTTATAAATAGTATTTACTGGAGAGGATAAAACAGTTTGGCAGTTTCAGACTAACTGTCATGCAATGATATAATCACAGAGAACATCGTGAAATTCCAAGTTCAGTGTTCTGAATAATAATACTTTGCATTAAAATTCAATGACATATCTTGTTACTTTATGTAAGTCATTCCGAATAAATAGTTGTTTCACTGTTTTAAAGCAATCTTTTCCTTAGCAACTACTTTTATGACTTAATATAGGAGTGAAACGTGAATGCTGTAGTTCACTGTAATTCCACTTTATTTATTAGATGTTTCAGATAGTGAAATAGTATTATTTACTGGATAATCTTTCAGACACAGATTATTTTCGATATTCATATCAATTAACTCTTCAACTTCCGCTCAAAGTTCACCTAATTCTAGTTGTCTATCCTCCTTTTTGATAATAGGTAGTAGAATTTTCCGTATATTTCGAACAGATGCTGAATCTTCATACTGCATGCATTTGATGTTATTTTAATGACATCTGTTTAAAAACTGTCACACGTTTTTGAATTATATCCTCTCATCTTTTCGGTGTACTGATCATACTCAATCAATTCCTTAGTTGATAACTATATTCTAGGAAAAATAACTGGCCTTATAAGTTTATTATAAAGTAAGTTTTATGTTCTTACTCTTCGTCTAGATTTAACATTACTTGTTTCAGTAAACTAGCTTAAGTTCTCTTTCAAAGAAATTATTCTAAGCAAATGTTTTATTGAAACGCACGACTGGAGTTCAAATTACTGATGGTGAGAATACTACTCAGTGCCTTAATTCTAAGAATACAGAATGAAACATTTTCTTATGATCTGATCAACATCCTGACTTATGTGCACAGTTATGTGGTGGTGGTTTGGACTAATCTTTATCCTATTTGTTCGACTAACACGTGGCATCAAATAACTATTCGTTTGACTGCATTTTGCTCTTTATCTGAAGGCTAAGCGACTTCCTAAATATCGAATTTTTTCTATAAAGTATTATTATTATTATTCCTTTGGGTTCCTAGTGGGGCATAAGGCTTTAGTTGCACGTCTCCATTGCACTCTCTTCTCGACAGTCTTTACAACTTAGCTCCACCACTTCACACAAGCTTTCATTTCTTCATCACACCATCTCCTCCATGTCACCCTCACCTAGGAAGCCCAACTCGTCGTCTCTCCTCTGAATTCTACTCGAGGGCCTGGCACACGATGTCTCAGAATGGCTTTCTCAGTGTATGCTTAATCCAATCCAATCCATCTACACTTTCCTCTCCTGCATACTTGTTGGGCGATGGGTTCTTGGTTAGTTCGTTCCCAGAGTTCCGTGTTGCTTATTCTTTCTGGCAATCCATCTGATATTCAGTATCGAGCGTAGGCGGCAGCTGTTGATGAATGTCTTTAGTTTGTTGGAAATCCCTTTCGTAACGCGCCAAGTCTCTGAACCATATAGGAGCACTAACTTGACTGGGTTGGTGTTGAAAATCCGAATCTTGTTCACGCTTTATGCTGAGTGCAGAAGATCTCCACACTGGTTCCAGGTTAATGTGGGAAGGTCTGTCTTGCTTTTTCGATCCTGGCTGCCTTGACTTCCTCGTCTGTACCTGTGCCGCCTGTAGTTGAAACGATGCTGCCTTGCCTAGGTAGGTGAAAGAGGCTTCCCTTAGGTTCATCTCGTTGATGATGATTGGTGCTTGTTGTTGATGCTGTTGTTGGTTGAGTATCTTCATCACCTCTGTCTTCTTTACATTCACGTTCACTTGAAGGGAGTCTCGTTTCCGCTGCCTCTACTGTCAACTTGTTAGTTTTCCTCTGTAAATCTTGGAGTTTGTGCGACATTAGACATAAATCATCATCTACAAAATCCAAATCTTCTTGGCTGTTTTCATCAGTCAGATAGGGTATGCCCATCTTCTCGCTCCTCACGGTTTGCTGCATGATCCAGTCGAGTCGAATAAACCACAATTAGAAAGATCATGGTGATAGTAGGCGGCAGCCTTGTCTTACTCCTGTCTTCACTTCAAAGGCTAGTAACTAGTGAACTAGTTAACCAGGCAAAGATTTCTGTAAATTGCATCACTATTATTCTCCTTTTGCATGTTAGTTAGGTAAAGTACCAGGATTTTCTTGTTATTCGGTTTCTTTTGCAATTATCAATTCATAAATATTGATTAGAGTCTACCTTCTACTAACATCTTATACATGACTGTTTTCAAGTTCACTGGGAACTAAGAATACTGTTATTGTGAGGAATACCTTCGCCATGATCTGCATAAAAAGTCATAAATCTCTAAAGCCAGCTACAACTCACCGTTTAGCTCAGAAGTTTTGGGACAAACCACGTGAACCAAAGTGTGAATATCAGATTGCCTAAACCAACGAAAAATCTTTAGGAATCAAATCTAAAAACGCCAAGGCCATTATAAATATTTACAAACCCTTGTATCTAGTACATACTTATGATGTTGCAATACACCTTCTGTTATCTTGCTGCCTTTTCCATTTATCAAGAAAGTTAATGACCATCAATGAGTGAAATCTGATGGTTACTGTCCAAGCTTCCATATACATATAAGTTAGGTTATATCAAGTAGTCACTACAAGAATATAACAAGTGGAAACTGGGGATTATAAAACACGCTCATACACAATATGTCAAAGGAAAATGCTTTGAGCAAGAACATCCTTTGTTATCAAATTAGTGGGCCAGACTGACGGATAGAAAATAGCAGTATCCTACTTTATTTTAGTCGTAAGGCCATAAAATAACAAAATCTTCTATATGATAGCTCTGATGAGATGCCCTTTTAAACTGAATTATAAAATTCAACAGCATAAGAATAAAGAACCTGGATACTACGATTGCACCTAACTGATCATCCTCAGTAAGTAAAGAAAATCAAAGTTCGTTACCTACTCTGATTTAGTAAGAAAACTCCACATGACCCGTGGTCACTGAAGTATCATCCCGTTGTTCATAGGCCTGTTGGGATGCGATAAATCAAAATTTGTAGGGTCGAAATCAATTAAATAAATATTCGACTTGTTCATCTGATTTATAACACACAATGATACAGTAAATAATTCTTTCATTCATTCATCTGATAACTGTGAAACTAACATAATACTTAGAATAATTAGAAGATTCATTTCAAATCCTCATTTTATGAGTTGATATGTGCGGTGCAGCATTCAACCACATTGCCAGCGAACCACTGGAATACCAGCTACTTAGAAGTTATTTCTGCTTTCTTAGAGACTATAGACTATATCCCTAAGTACCTTAATGAAAAACGTTACTCTTAGAAAACTCAAGCCGTGATCAGACTGAAACCCATGGGAAATAGTGCCGTGACTTACTGTTGACTTTCTTCCACTATTCAACATCATACACACGAAATTCTGACGAGGCTCTTCCTTCAAATCAGTTAAGTAATGCACATAAATGCATTCGTATTTATGAAATATTCAGGTATTTAAAGTATACGCTGATTGGTCACTGGAGAGCAACTAATCTGATGTCGTCAAATACTGAGTGCTGATGAAATTCTACCAATCATTTTTCAATGTGGCCACCTAGCTACGAGGCGCGCTGTACTTTGATGGATGTTAGTTGATGGGAGTCAATCACTAGGAAGCTTTGTATTCTTTGTAACCCTTTAAACATATACTATCTGTTCTATGAAGTAATCACACGACTCCTACCGAAGTTGTTCAAATCCCCTTAAGTCTTTTAGTCAGAAATTAAATTACAAACATGGATTGTTTGTTAAAATAATTTTGCATTGATCAACAATCGTATTTTACACCTTTGCCGAGCTTGTTTCAACTTAGATTAGAAACTTGGCAAGTAATAAAAATATCAGCACGTAACCCATTCATTTAGCATAATAGTTACCCTAAATTATCAAAAAACCTCCGTTAATGTTTCCTTATTCATTGTGTATAAGTTACTAGCATCATCTGTTAAAGTATTTCTAAAGCGGTAATATTTGTCAACATAACAATTACTGTATGAGACATTCTTACCACATAGCTGCAGTACTAATACCTTATTACTACTCAGCAAACATGCACAAGCTTTTCTTGAGTAGAACACGAAAATCAGAGTAGTTCTCCCCTTAGAGCTTGTAAATGCCTCCCTTTGTATGTTGTCGATAATCTTCCAAATTTTTTCGGTTGCCAGTAACAAACTTGATTTCTTTTCGTGGCTTACAAATTAAAAGTGGATCTTTCCAGCCCAAACGTTTACTATTCCATTTTCATAACACTATACCCCCATTACATTATGAATTAATCTGATTAGCTTTGAGTGGTTTTAACACTTAAGTTAATCGATTGAGAGGAATTTCATCCTTTCCATTCTAAGTTAAATCATTCTCAATTCCAATGTTTAACTGTATGGGTATGGTTACTATCACCAGCCTCACATCTTATCCTCTTCCTAATTGTTTGATAGCAGTAACTTTCGCTTATTATCGCCCTGATTTTTCTCCCCCTTAATACTTCATTTTATTTGTCCTGTTCATACTTCTTCAGACTTGTCATTGTTATCACTTTTACTTGTTGAAATCTTAGATTAGTCTGTTGCGTAATACAGCTGTGTCATTTAACCTAATCAACCAATCACCTTATGCTTAAACTGTGACCCTGTTATTCAATTGCTGCTCCATGCCTTTTACACACACACACCCACACACACACACACTGAGAGACACTGAACAGATTTAATGTATCAAATAGTGATATTGTCACTTATTTCAACATCCTGATTTTCTCTTCTTGTGATTAAGTGAATAAATCTTAACTGTGCTATAATCATCAGGGGGATCCGATTACATTTAAAACAGAAGAAAATAAGAAAAACAATTCAAACAAAGCAGACAGTTTATCGTCTGATTTTGATAACAATTCATCGCTGTTTTCTTTATCTTACCATACATGGAGCTGAGGGAACCAGAAAGTAATCATTTCGACTCGAATATAAAAATACCGATGGATTATGATAATATCTCCAGTAACATTGATAAACATAATCTCACAAACAACTATCTATCACATCACGAACCTGTATTAGATTTATCACTGACACCAAACTCAAATGAACACTTTCTGCGATATTGTATTCCAAATCCAAATTTGTCATACGGAGTATCTAACTATGCTACAATGTGCCCGAACATTTCGGATACTCATAAAATGAACCACTGGTTAGTAGAACAAACCTCTATACCTACATCATCTAATTATTCAAGTCATTGTGTGGGGAGCAGTTCAATAAAAAATTCTGGAAATTATATTCCAAATATACCAACTCCTGAACAGTTGTTAACCAGAAATCAAGAAAGTCTTTATAATTTACATGGTAAGCATTTTGTATCCGAATTCCTTTCAGTCCATTTTCAACTATTATATCAAAGTGAATGATGCATTTCGCTTTTGATCGCTGTAGCAATAAGTTGTTGGCAAACTTTTAGAAATCCGAGTGGATATTGAAAGCTGTCATACAATTACCATACTTTGCAAGTTTGTGTTGATGAAAAAAATACATTACTGGTGTGTAACGAGCATTTTGGAGTTTATCTGATTCTAATAGGAGTTACAAAATAGTGTAGATAATTTGTTCTGTCCTGCTATTTGATAATCTTAGTCGCTAAAGAACGAAAACACTATCTAGAACTTTGTTTTCAAACTAATTGATAATTTTCGTTAACTGATTAGAGCATTGTACGAGAATTTATATCGTCCAGTGAAGAGAGTAAGATAAACATAATGCAGACCGTGTATTTCAGGTTATTATTATTATTATTCCCTTGGGTTCCTAGTGGGACATAGGGCTTCACTAACAAGTCTCCAGTGAACTCTGTCCTCTGAAATCTTTTTAACCTGGCTCCACGACTGTCCAGAAGCTCTCATTTCTTCCTCACATGATCTCCTCCATGTCACCCTCGCCTCGGACGCCTAACTCGACTTTACCCATCTGGTTTGCACTCGAAGGCCTGGGGCGTGATGTCCCCAGTGTATTTCAGGTATAGGTTACAAATTATTCTCATGACAACATATAAGAGTTTACAATACACAGTTGTTTTAAACATCTGAGTGATTAGGTAAGCAAGACGATTAGTAAAAGTAACACGTATACAATAGAAGACAATGCAAAACAACTATATTTTGGCGAAAAAGAAATCTAAATACATAGTAGTGCAATTTTCAGGCTGTAAATAAAAAAAGAATATATTATTGGGTGGTGACTGAATATGAACTGGCAATCCAGCTTGCAGCAGGTTTCTAACCAGTAACCTCCAGATACTCGCCTGGTGCTCTACAAGTACAGCTACGAAACTCCTCTGCTAATCATATTTTAACTTCATTCCTAAAGCCAACAGTTTTGTACTATTTCCATGTGATTGTATGATGTTTGTCAAGTTAATTGAAATATTAACTAGTGTATGGAAGTCAAATATTATCTCCTCTGATTGATCTAAATCACTGATTATCCCAGTCCTCAAGAAAAGTTAAAGCCCTCATGTGATAAAAGCCGAGGAATCTGCCTGACGAACATAATGTGTAAGATTATAGGTTCTATAATCATTTGACACCTGAGTGGAGCTCAGGAACAGCAAGTCCAAGGAAGCGAGACAAGCTTCAGACCTGGTCGTGTGTGTATCTACCAAATATTCACACTCCCGCAGGTTCTAGAACACAAGCATGCTTACCGAAGCCTGACAATAGCTGTATTTCTTGACCTGAAGACAGTATTCAAATCCATTGATCGAGAAGTCGTATGGTAATGTCACTTACTGAAAGAGATACAGAGTAAGTACATCATCTTACTGAAGACTCTTTACTCTAACATCTGTGGACGTGTTAGAGCCAGTGTTAAGATATCGGGTGAGTTGGGTACGTCGAGTGATGTCCGTCAAGGATACCCACTCCTATTCACTTTTATCAGAGATGCTCTTACGGATTTATCCACTTTATCTGGTCATCCTGATCACTGGAGAACTTTCGTTGGACATAGAATATGCAGATAACATAGTCAGTCCTGTTAGGTGAAGATGTTGACAAGATGCAGCGTCTTTTGGACACCTTAAGTTGCACTTTGAGAATGTTCGGAATGCGTTTCTCACCACCCAAATGTAAATCGTTTCCTCAGGATTGGTCTTCAACTGTGCCACGGCTAATAATAGAGAGTGGAGTGAATGAGTGAGCTGAACAATTTACTTACCTGGGAAGTAGGATCAGCCCTACCCTGGTGGCTCAGTGGCCGATGAAATCTCTGCACGGATACAAACAACTCGGCTGACTTTTGTCAACTTACGCCATCTTTGGAGCCACTACGATATACGATTGTCTATTAAGGGTCTACTGTACAGTGCTGCAGTCCGCTGCGTTCTGCTGTATGGCTGTGAAACATGGCCGTTAAAAGCAGAATATATGAGAACGCTTCAAGAGTTTGAATGCCGCTGCCTTCATAGTATAGGCTGTATTCCGTGGTATCATCACTTGAGTAACGCAGAAGTCAGGTGTAGAGTTTTAGGGAGAAGAGGTGAATCAGTTGACAAGGTTGTGAACCTTCATCGACTGAGATGGTTGGGACACGTGTTACGTATGTCCAGCCCCAGTCTAGCTCGTCACACAATGTTGGCTGAAGTAGGTCCAGGCTGGAAAAAGGCCCGAGGTGGCCAGACTAAAACATGGCACCAATGTATGAAGTCTTTGACTGTTGGTTTGAGCCATGTGGGGGATGTTGACTAAGTGGTTGGGGTTGGCGGGATAAGGGGAACCAGTGGTTGGAGACTCTAGGTGATATGGCTGAGAACCGATGTCATTGGTGCAGATGTATACACACATTATAGTCATCTCAACTGGTATACCTAATCTCATTGCCTTCTCATTCTCCCTTTCTCTCTTTCATTACTTTCTACTTCTTCTTTTAATCTGTTTTCCTTTCATCGTTCATCTTTCAGCTTATACCTTGTTACTTGATGTGGTTTTATGAGGTGTGGCAACCTGGATCATTACGCACTAATACTGGGTCCTATGTTGATATACTGATGATCGTGTGATACACAACTGTCCGTCTATCTAATTCATGCTATTTTAGAATTCAGTATTCCTTATATAAATACATGCCCTCTTCTCTACTTTAGCTCATTTTGGGCTTAAGTCAGAAACCGTGGCTTGCAAAATAATGTGAATTAGAGGGGTTGTAAGCTATACATTATGCCAGGACATAAAGTTTGAGGGTTCAGATTGAATTCAGTATCTGGTTGACAGCGGAGTCTCGTAGCCCAACTCGTACAGTACCAGGCGGTATCCAGAGGCCACTCACTGTTTAGAATCCTGCTGCAACCTAAGTTTTTACTTCACGTCCAATCATCACTCAGAACCAACAGCTTTAATTTATCCAACCACTCAAAATGATCTCATCAGTGTATATGTTACATTAACTCTTGACCAGTTTTAAGTACCATATTTATGGTGTAATCATGTAAAATAAATGTTGTGAATTAAGCGCTTTTTCATTTTCACTTCTGCACTAAAATGCAGTTGGTAACATTTGTGTCTTCCTTCAATATCTTTTACACTTCTGAAAGTTGTTTTATAAAATCTCAGAATTTCTAAGGCTGTCAGTTGTAAAAACGCTGAAAATATCCAATGATAACAAAACGTAATCTTGATGTTGATCAACAAACAACTTCTGAAGTCAGAGTTCTTGGTTCTCTTGTTATACTGCCTTGAAAATGTATTCGAATAGAAAAAATATCTGGTAACGTTATTAAGATTTCAAAACACTTTGCTAACCAAAACAATCTGGTTTCTGTTATGAATAGTTAATGTACCAGTTTGCACCAGTGAACTATTCAACAGAATTTATTCAAATAAACAAATTTATACTGCACTCAACATAAAGAACAAGATCTGGATTTTGAACACCAACGACAAGTCACTGCTTCTATATGGTTCTGAAACTTGGCGTCACGAAAATCACTCCCAACAAACTACAGACACTCATCATCAACAGCTGTCACCTACGCTCACTCGATACTGACAGGGAGGACCAGATAGATGGATGGCCAGAGCAATGAGAATAAGCCAGAAGGAACTCACTGCTGCCTGGCAGTGAAGCAACAAGTATGCAGAAGAGGAAAGTGGAGATGGATTGGATTGGATTGGGCATAGACTGAGAAGACGATTTGGTGATATGCCATGACATGACATGATGCGTCAGTTGAGGCCGTCAAGTGGGACGGAAAGGGGCAAGGATGAGTTGGGTGTTTGAGGTGAGGGTGACATGGATGAGATGGTGTGGTGAGGAAATGAAAGCTTGTGTGCAGTGGTGGAGCGAGGTTGAAAAGACTGTGTAGAAGATAGTGTAATGTCGACGGGAGGGCTACTGAAGCCCTATGTTCCACTAGGAACCCAAGGGATAAATAATAATGACAATAATACGGTTAAAAAAATGAAACATGTATGGTAGAAACAGAAGTTTCATACATTTGTTCCGTTTAGTGGGCTGGGAAAATGTAGCTAAAGCACCATTTACAAAATAATATGGTGACATTTTGTTTCAAAGACTTATCATCAGTTGCGAATAATATTCTCACTATCTTGCCAAAGTTAAAACACATACATACTAAATGATTTCAACTCACTTTTAAAATACTATAATGGTCTGTGATTGTTTTAATCTGCTAAAATCATCTTAGTTATCGGATATTAACTTCAGCGGAAGGGATCGTTAGCTAAAGTTCCTGCCGAATGAAGTATTGTGTAGTGCTTTCTACTTCTTTTCCTAGGTAAAACATTATTATTAACGATAGTATCCTGGAGTTAGGTACGGAATCACTCTTTGATTGACTGATTCCAGTCAATATTGGCTGCATAAACTGTTAGTTCCTCAGATTATTATCTGATGTGGTTAGTTTTTTAGCGGACAACTAACTATATATACGAAAGGTTAAATAATATAAAAATGATTTACGACATCATAGAAATATATTATGTGATAATCTTGGTATGTAGAACCAGAAATTTCATAATTCAGTAGTATTTTATCTGATTTTATTTATTCCTCAATCCAAAACTGATTTCAAATTTTAACCACACAAGAAAATGGATAGTTGTACACGTCTACCATTATAGCATACTTTGTACATTTATATGTTTACAAATAATCATCATTGCGAAGAGGAATTTTCTTTGTTGAAACCTTTTTTTCTCTCAAAGAGGATTGTTAATTTTAACATTTGTCACCAGTCATCATTAATCTTAACATGCCTCAATTTAGCATTTAACGAAGAAGCCTTTACTAGCACAATGAATTACTTTCAGTATAAAAGAAAATCTTTAAGGTGATCCATCCATCCATCCATCTATCCAGATCAACCTAGGATCAGATATTACTGCGTAACGGTCCGAGTTGCCACACCTCATATCAGTACATCAAGTAAAAAGGCAGTGAGGTGTAAGATGAAGATAAGAGAATGCAGTCAGAAGAAATATAAAGTACGAAAAGAGAGAAAGGAAGAATGAGAAGGCAATGAGATTAGGTATACCAGTTGAGATGACTATAATGTGTGTATACATCTGCACCAATGACATCGGTTCTCAGCCATATCACCTAGAGTCTCCAACCACTGGTTCCCCTTATCCCGCCAACCCCAACCACTTAGTCAACATCCCCCACATGGCTCAAACCAACAGTCAAAGACTTCATACATTGGTGCCATGTTTTAGTCTGGCCACCTCGGGCCTTTTACCAGCCTGGACCCACCTCAGTCAACATCGTGTGACGAGGCAGACTACGGCTGGGCATACGTAGTACGTGTCCCAACCATCTCAGTCGATGAAGGTTCACAACCTTGTCAACTGATTCACCTCTTCTCCCTAAAACTCTACACCTGACTTCTGCGTTACTCAAGTGATGATACCACGGAATACAGCCTATACTATGAAGGCAGCGGCATTCAAACTCTTGAAGCGTTCTCATATATTCTGCTTTTAACGGCCATGTTTCACAGCCATACAGCAGAACGCAGCGGACTGCAGCACTGTACAGTAGACCCTTAATAGACAATCGTATATCGTAGTGGCTCCAAAGATGGCGTAAGTTGACAAAAGTCAGCCGAGTTGTTTGTATCCGTGCAGAGATTTCATCGGCCACTGAGCCACCAGGGTAGGGCTGATCCTACTTCCCAGGTAAGTAAATTGTTCAGCTCACTCATTCACTCCACTCTCTATTATTAGCCGTGGCACAGTTGAAGACCAATCCTGAGGAAACGATTTACATTTGGGTGGTGAGAAACGCATTCCGAACATTCTCAAAGTGCAACTTAAGGTGTCCAAAAGACGCTGCATCTTGTCAACATCTTCACCTAACAGGACTGACTATGTTATCTGCATATTCTAGGTCTAACGAAAATTTTCCACCGATTATTTCAACGTCTATATAATCGGGGGATGAGAGCGAAACCTCCATGAGAATATGTATGATAAAACTGAATAGGAATGGAGACAGGGGCACCCTTGACGGACACCATTCTATGAGTACAGCTCACCAGACATCTTACCATAGGCTCCAACACGTCCACAAGTGGGCAGAAAGTGTGAAATTTATCAGGAAGGATTACGACAGACTATCTAGAAATACGCAACAGCTATTCCATATATTATTTGCCTTCTTGATGCTGATGAGACAACTGAAAAGATATGCCGACTAGATTGTAGTTTTAAGCGAGGATATCCACGTAGAATTCCTAATAGTATTAATTATCATGGTGGTCAGAAATCACTTCAGGTATATATTTGTTTGCTTTACAGGTCAGATTAATTTCCTAAATTTATTTCGTCAAACTTGGCATTTCTACCAACAGTGTCTAGCAGAGTCAAACTACCCAGTTCAGTCAACTTACCTGCCTACAGATGATTATCAGTACTTTGTAAATAACAGTCTATCAACACTTGCTTTGAGTCAACTTTCCAATGCATCATTGTCAAGTCAAAATGATGTCGACCTTCAGGATAGGAATAAAATCTCGCCCAGTTTCTTTTTAGAAACGGAGACAAATTCAGTTCTCAATCCTATAAACAACCAGAGGAATGGTATGTTAACTGAAAACCATTCGAATAAGAACATAAGCAATGATAAGACTACTAAAACCAGTCGCAGTGATTCTATATCCCCAGTGGATAAACCTCGACATTATCGTAAGGCAAGAGCTTATTTTCACCCCAAACAAATGAGTTGTCTGGAATCCTTTTTTCAAAAGAATCCCTATTTATCTACACGAGATCGGGAGTATTTATCAAAGAAGTTAAATCTTTCTGAAGATAGGGTAGGTGGATTTTTATTGCTAGTTTGGTTTTTTCTTTGTCGAGATTTATCAAACATAATCATTACTAAAAAGTGAAATTAAGTGTCGAAGTTGTCTTCACTCAACCAAAAATGACATCATTTAAAGGGTTTACGACTTATTTTGAACACTAAACAACGGGTGATTACAGTTTGAGAACGTCAGTTACTACTTACTGCTTATGCTTTTAGGGGTCAAAAATGGAAGCTTTATACCTCTTGACGACCACTTTATCGGAAATTTATCAACATGAAATCCATCATCCTTGACGAGATGAATCTGACAGCCAACCAGCTGAAAAGTGCACCAGTCAGAATGTAAAATCATCCTCAATATTATCATAGGACCAGGCATTACTGCACACTGGCCCAGGTTGTAGCACCTTATATCAGTATATCAAGCAGCAAAGCGCTAAGATGAAAGGTAAATAAATCGAGAAGAAATAGTTAAAAGCAGTGTAAGAGAGGAAGAAGCAATAGGAAAATACTGAATTCAGTATAGCTCCACTGTCATCTATTCTGAACCATATCACCTAGTTCCCAACCGCTGGTTTATGTTGTTACGCGGCTCCCAACCTGGAAGTATATATTTCCTAACACATCTCGGACCAACAGTCAAAGGCTTCGTGCACTGTTTTAGTCTAAACGCTCTTATCTTTTTTTTGGCTTATACTGTGCAACGAGACAGATGGTTACTAGCCATGTACATTACATATCCCACAAGCTTTGGCTCACTGATTTACCTACATGGCTTCCAACCAACGAGTCATGGGTTTGAAGCCCACTCTACCTACAGAGGTTTGGCCAGCCATGTAGTTTTACTAGCTCTCACACGATAGGTGCTGCTCATTACCTACTGCATGAACGTGCATGTGGCTGTTAAGTGAATTTCGAACAATGATTAGTGTTGATAATGAATACCACTGATTATATCAAGTTGTGAGTGAAGAGGTCACTCAAATAAATTAGTGACACCACTTGTCAACCGAATCGAATGTAAAACTGTTATGATGCGGAGTTGTGAGAGTGGACGGAAATACTTAACGATTGATAGTCGAGGGTAAGACGATTCAACCCGAGTTATTCGCAAACAGGAATCAAAAGATTGGAGACCAGATGAGTTTATAGTATTTCGGACTGAAAACGTTTATGAGTGAAAACGGACCCTATTTATAGAGTTTACAGTAACCTTGAAAGACGAGGAATAATTAGTTCATTTAAAGGGGCAGAAGCTAATCAGAACAATGGTGGGTCATACAAAACACTACCCACGCTCGGGAAAACAGCGCGAAATAACCTAGTTCAAATAATAAGAACGTCAAGTATGGAATATAAGGGATATGGTCATCCCTAAAAAAACATTTTGTTTTTTTAATGTTGAGATTACTTGAAAAGAAAGAACTTCTTTCCACTGATTTCTTGGTATATTCAACAACTTTCGAGTTGTTTATGAAATATGCTGTTCAGTCAGAAGTTTGTTCACATTCAGATTCATGTGGCGCTTTAATTTGAAACAGTCCAAAAATAAGATTTTATCGGTTGCTTGGATGTTGACTAGTTATAGAGTCATCAAATTACTAGAAACTTTCACTTCAGCAAGTCAATGCTGTGCTTCAAATGATTATTTAGTTAATATGATCCACTAGTGTTTCAACTAATATCGGTTTTGAATCATATTCAAAGTGTATAACTCAGGTCATATCACAGAAAATTAAATCCATAGAGGACAAACACTCTTCATATAAATTCGGTTTGGGGAAAATTCATTGTGAATTTAATACTGTTTAATGAAACCTTTTAATTTTTATCGAAAACATAAGTTTGATACTGTAGTTTTTAAATTTTCTGATAGGTGAGCAGAAAATCTGCTAAAAAATATGTCACTGTCGTTGCAACTAACTGCGAGTAGCTTTGAAAACAAAGTAACCACAAACGTTTGCATTGACTTCATCATAAGGTAATGTTCATCATAGGCGGACATCAGTTGGGGAACAACTGAAAACTTGGGAGTACTAGATTATTGTTTCTTCCTAGTACAGGACTCCTTAGCAGTCGGAAGTGAATTAGATGCCAACTGAAAACCTTGGATGATAGTTGCACTATCTTACGAATTGACAGAGGTGATAAAATATAGATCCAATGACTGACTGCTTAATGCGTTCGCAGTGAAACGTGGAAGCCCTAAGTTCAAACCCTAGCGGGATCATGGGTGTACACTGCCAAGGAGTCCCATACTAGGACGAAACAGCTGTTCAGTACTCTCGGATTCTCAGTGGTCCTCTAACTGATGTCAGTTCTTGATAAATTCTACCTTAAAAATGAAATCCGTGTTAACCTCAAAATACATTAATGTATCATTCATTTATCTGACCATTTCATATTGTCAATTAGAAATTGGTACATCATTGGAGATTTACTGACATAAATAAAAGGCGAACACATTCAACAACTATATGAAGACGCCACATACCAGCCAAGTAATTCACAATAGGAAGCTCAGTGATGCCTTTGAAGTGAAGACAGGAATGAAACAAGGCTGCCACCTACTGTCACCCATGATATTCCTGATTGTGGTCGACTGGACTGGATCATGCAGCAGACAACTGTGAGGAGCAAGAAGAGGGGGATACACTGGACGGCAGAAAGGAACCTAGAAGACTCGGATTTCGCTGATGACTTGTGTCTAATGTCTTGTCGCACAAACTGGAAGATCTACGGGCGAAGACTGATAAGTTGACAGAAGAGGCAGGGCAGAGAAGATGGGACTTCCTTCATGTGAACGTAGAGAAGACAGAGGTGATGAAGATACCCAACCGAAACCACCACCACCAACAACAACAAGCTCCAATCATCATCAACGGGAGAAACCTACCTACCTACCTACCTACCTACCTACCTACCTACCTACCACCCCACACCTACCTACCACCCCACACCTACCTACCACCCCACACCTACCTACCTACCTACCTACCTACCACCCCGCACCTACCTACCTACCTACCTACCTACCTACCTACCACCCCACACCTACCTACCTACCTACCTACCTACCACCCCACACCTACCTACCTACCTACCCACCTACCTACCTACCTACCTACCACCCCACACCTACCTACCTACCTACCTACCTAGGCAGCACTGTTTCAACTACAGGCAGCATAGGCACAGACGAGGACGTCAAAGCAACCAGGATCGGAAAAGCAAGACAGACCTTCCCACATTAACCTGGAACAAGTGTGGAGATCTTCTGCACTCAGCATAAAGCGTGAACAGGATTCGGGTTTTCAACACCAACGTCAAGTCAGTGCTTCTGTATGGCTCAGAGACTTGGCGCGTTACGAAAGGGATTTCCAACGAGCTACAGACATTCATCAACAGCTGCCGCCTACGCTCGATACTGAATATCAGATGGATTGCCAGAAAGAATAAGCAACACGGAACTCTGGGAACGAACTAACCAAGAACATATCGCTCAACAAATATGCACTGGAAGGAAGTGGAGATGGATTGGATTGGGCATACACTGAGAAGGGCGACTGGGGACATCACGTGCCAGGTTAGGCACTCGAGTGGAACCCAGGTGGGAAACGAAGGGTTGGGCTTCCTAGGTGAGTGTGAAGTGGAGGAGATGGTGTGAGGAAGAAATGAGAGCTTCTGGGCTGTCGTGGAACCAGATTCAAAAGTTTGCAGAGAATAGAGTGGACTGGAGACGTGCTGGTGAAGCCGTATGTTCCATTAGGAACCCAAGGGACAAATATATATATATATATATATATATATATATATATATATATATATATATAATCAGTAAATATCTGGTCTATGCAGGGTGCAGATGTTTGCTTCATACAATCTCAACATTTAAATCGTCTTGAAGGTTTTAAGGAATTATAGCTTCAGTTCATTTGAGGAAGTAAATGAGCTGATGTTTGTCAGATACGATTGTAGCTACTCAATAGGTAGATGAATGCACTGTTCAGTGCTGCTATTAAATAACATTAATTGTAATATTTAACTAGTGCACTAGTTACTGGCCGGTCCTAAGCCCGGGTATACAGGGAAGGTTGGGCATAGGGCTAGCAACCCTACCCCGTAAAACAAATCGAACCTATAAAGAAACTTCAAAGCACGAACAAAATATAAAAAATAAAAACAAAATTATTCCTCACTGGAATCGGAGAGGCGAAATGACACCAGTTGGTGAAAGCCTTCGGGAAGCCAACTACCCTATGTCTCTTCTCTTCTCTCGATGAAAGCGAAAGTAAAAGTGGGGACATGGAATGTCCGCACGATGCTTGAACCCAGCAAGGCAGCCCAGATTGCAAACGAGATGAAGAGGTATCACATTGAAGTGCTAGGAGTCTGCGAAAGCAGATGGAATGGGAGTGGACTCTCCCAACTGTCAACTGGAGAGGAGTCAATAATCTACTCCGATATTGTCACTCAGACGACAACCACGAGCACACTGAGTTATGGAGTGGCTATCATGATATCCCCGATAGCATCGAAGGGTCTCTGTCATGCAGTGGGAACCAATCTCCCCAGTACCAGGATCATGACAGCAAGATTCAACTCAAAAGGAACGAAGGTCACAATCATACAATGATATGCACCTACAAATAATGCAGAGCAAGAGAAAAAGGAGGAATTCTACAGACAATTTCAATCAACACTGGACAAGACCCCACTCCAGTTGGATATATCAAAATTCTGATGGGCGACATGAATGCCAAACTGGGAGGGGACAACACAGGAAGAGAACTAACCATGGGTCGAGAGGCGCTAGGTGAAATGAATGAGAATGGAGAATTGTTTGCAGAATTCTGTGCATTCACCGATTTGTTGATTGGAGTAAGGCAGTGTTTTCAAGCAGGAGGATATCCACAAGTCAGCGACATGGATTTCACCAGATGGACACACTAAAAATCAAATCGACTTTATCTCAATCTCAAGAAAATGGAGACGCAGTCTACTTGACACAAGGGCAAGAAGAGGAGCAGATGTAGGTTCAGACCACTATCTAGTGCAAGGAACCTTCCAAATCAAGTTAAAAGCCTTCAAGGAAGCTGATGATAGACCACAGTTCAAGTACAACACTCGGAAACTGAAGGATGAGACTACAAAGGAGATCTTCACATCAGCCATCAAGACAAAATGGGAGATATCGAGCAACATCCCTGAAGAAACCTGTGTGGAAGAACACTGGAAGCCTTTGAAAGCTATGTGGAAAGAAACCTGCACAACCGTATTAGGAAGGAAGAAGAAAGAAGACAAGACAAGGAATGGATCTCAATGGATACATGGAAGCTGATAGAGCAAGGAGAGGAGGATGGTGAAGCAGAAGATAAACCAGTGCAAGGATGCTCAACGACAAGAGGAACTGAGTGCAATGTACAAAACACTGGACAAAGAAGTGAAGAAGAGTGCTCGCAAAGACAAAAGACACTTCTGCGAAGCACTGGGAAGTGATGCAGAACAGGCTGCTGGTAAGAGAGACCTGACGACATTGTATCAAATAACCAGGTTACTATCTGGGAAGAAATCAACGCAGACGAAACCAATAAAAGATGACGGAAATCTAATTACGAAAGAAGAGAAACAAAGGAAACATTGGGCCAACCACTTCAAGAAGCTCTTGAATCGACCACCACCACCTGAACTTCGTCCAGAAATACTACATGCAGCCGCTGAACTACAAGTGAACATAAATCCTCCAACAAAAGTGGAAGTCCTGAACGCCATAAAGCTACTGAAATGCGGGAAAGCAGCAGGACCAGACGGGATACCGCCAGAAGCACTGAGAACGGACTCAGAGACCACAGCTGACATGCTCACACCACTATTGCAGTTTGTGTGGAAGGAAGAGAAGGTACTTGTCGATTGGAAGAAGGATTACCTCGTCGAACTGCCGAAGAAGGGAGACCTCAGTGCTTGCAAGAACTGGCGCGGAATCACTCTCCTATCCACCCCAAGCAAAATATTAAGCTGCATCATCCTGGAGAGGCTAAAGGATGCACTGGATTCAAAACTACGACCGGAACAGGCTGGCTTCAGGAAGTACAAATCATGTGCAGACCAAATTGCAACGCTTCGCATCATCATAGAACAGAGCATAGAATGGCAATCAGCTCTCTACCTCAGCTTTATCAACTTTGAGAAGGCCTTTTACAGCGTCGACCGAGAAGTAATTTGGAAAGTGCTCCAATACTACGGAATACCACAAACCTTTATCCGCCTCATCCAACAACTATATGAAGATGCCACATGCCAAATAATTCACAATGGGAAGCTCAGTGATGATTTTGAAGTGAAGACAGGAGTGGAACAAGGTTGCCTACTATCCCCCATGATATTCCTGATTGTGGTCGACTGGACTGGATCATGCAGCAGACAACAGTGGGGAGCGAGAAGAGGGGGATAGGCTGGCTGGACTGCGGAAAAGAACCTAGAACATCTGGATTTCGCCGACGACTTATGTCTAATGTCGCACAAACTCCAAGATCTACAGAGGAAAACTAACAAGTTGAAAGAAGAGGCAGCGAAGACGGGACTTCAAGTGAATATAGAGAAGACAGAAGTGATGAAGATACCGCACCACCACCATCAACAACAACAACAAACTCCAATCACCATCAACAGGAGAAACTTGAAGGAAGTAACCTCCTTCACCTATCTAGGAAGCACTGTTTCAACTACAGGCAGCATAGGCACAGACGAGGACGTCAAAGTCAGAATCGGAAAAGCAAGACAGGCCTTCATTAACCTGGAACAAGTGTGGAGATCTTCTGCACTCAGCATGCGTGAACAAGATTCGGATTTTCAACACCAACCCAGTCAGGTCAGTGTTCCTATATGGTTCAGAGACTTGGCGCGTTACGAAAGGGATTTCCAACAAACTAAAGACATTCATCAACAACTGCTTACGCTCGCTGCTGAAGATCAGATGGCCAGAAAGAATAAGCAACAAGGAACTCTGGGAACGAACCAACCAAGAACCTATCACCCAACAAATATGCAGGAAGAAGTGGAGATGGATTGGCCATGCACTGAGAAGGCCGACTGAGGACATCACGCGTCAGGCCAGTTGCTCGAGTGGAATCCCCATGGGAAGCGACGAGTTGGACGGCCGAGGGTGACATGTAGGAGATCGTGCGAGGAGGAAATGAGAGGCTGTGGGCTGTCGTGGAACCAGGTTCAAAAGATCTCAGAGAACAGAGGTCACTGGAGACGTGCTACTGAAGTCCTATGTTCCATTAGGAACCCAAGGGACTAATAATAAATAATAATAATAATAAAGGCTGAATGATGATTGAGGTATTTATGTGATGACCGTCAGCTCAGTAGTGGATATAGATTTCTTCTTTTTCTATCCTCCTGTATTATTCTCACAGTAGTCTGCTTTAAGATCAATGGAATTGTTCATTTTATCTTGTTTACCTAGTAGCTGACTACTCACGGTCGATAGTTACTGATGTTCTGCATGATTATTCTAAATTTATATAGATTCAGAGTGTATAACTTCTAAGAAATTTAACATATGAATCGTATAATTTCTGAATCCATTAAGGAGACTCACAATAGCGTTATTTAACGTAGTCAGGAATGAGTTCATACTACTACTGAATCAAACATATAATTCATTATTAGCCATCATACTTAAGTGAAGCTTTACCTTAGCTGACTGTTTATTTAGTATTAGTCGTAAGTAGATAACTGAGCATTAATTAAACTATTCCACTTTTTCATTTCAGATTAGAACATGGTTTCAGAATAGACGTATGCGAGAAAAGCGTAAACCTGGAGTACATTGTGATTCGGATAATTCTTCACTTAATTCTTGTACAAAAGTAGACTATTCATAGTACTATCAACACTATTAAATTCTTTCATTTAAGTTCAGACTGTATATATATAATTTTGTTCTCTATAATTTACCTGAATAACGTATACATTCATCCAATTAAACTGATATTCTTGACTCATGACATGTTTTGTTTTGAGAACCACATGTACAATAATAAATGTAGTATTCATCATAGACTGACATCATTTGGAGAAACGTTGAAAGCTTGAGAGAACTAGACAGCTGTTTCGTCCTCAGCAGTGCGCATCCGAAACACTCTAGGGATCTAACCCGGGACCTTCTGGTCTCGTGACCAGCATATTACTATTGAGCCACCTCTGTCAGTTCACGGTATAGCGCGACCTCAAGCTATCCAGTACTCCTGGGTTTCCAAAGTTTCCATATCTGTTGCTAATCCACGATGAATACTAACCTGAAATCAATATAATCTCCACAAGCCTTCAAAATGAATTAACCTAGTGCTCATCAGTGACTAGCTTTCAGAAGCGACTCCAGAAGTTCCAGTGAGAAGTCGTGACTAATGAAGTCAACCAGCTTGAACAGGTATTCAGCGATGAAATTGGATGGAGGTCGTGCTATATCGTGAACTGACAGAGGTAAGAAATATGGATCAATGAGTTATAACTCAGTGGCTCAACGGTAACGTGTAGGCTATGGAACCTGAAGGTCCTGGGTTCGACCCCTGGAGAGGTTGTGGGTGTGTGTTGCTGAGGCGCCACATACTGGGACAAAGCATCCGATCAGTACTCCCAACTTTCCAAAGTTTCCCCACATGATTTCAGTCTGTAATGAATATCAACCTGAAATCAATAAAATCCCCACAATACTTCAAATTGAATGAGTGTACAAAGGCTGAATTATTTATCAGCTTATTCTATATTCTGTATTCGAATGTTCATGGAAGGGGATCAAATACTGATTGATACTCTAAATACGCTACTATTGTGTAGTAAGCTGGTGCAAACTGAAAATAAACAGGGATTATTAAGCTTGGTGTGTTACTTTTTCACACATTCAATAATCAAATGTGGATTACATATTAGGTATTCAAATACTTTGCATACATATCCGGTAGTGGCTATTAACGAATTCCAAGACAAGTGTCCCACCCTATTTGGGACTAACTAGATACCTATTCAGTAACCATTTTGGTTTTTTTCTGTTGTTAATTGTTTTATGTTCTCCAAGCTTTGGTGCTTGTACTTAAACGTTTCGTCTTCAAGCTAGATGACTTTACCAGTACTTACTTCATCGCTCTATTTATTCAAGTCAAATTATGCATAAACAATTTATCGTTTAATGTCCTAAGTCTCTTTACATTAACATTACATCTTAGTTTACTATGTATAGATGCAATAAGTTATTGAACTAAGCTTCAGTTTATATCTTATCCTTTTACTGATTAGTTAACTCTTTCGAAGTTCAGTTTTGCTCAGATATATTGGCCTAAATAGTGAGCTATATATCAAACGTTTTCAGCATGTATAATTTCATTTAATATCAATATTTAAGCACTTCAGTTTATTCACTATTTAACAGTCACTTGTACTTTATCAAATAACTTGACCCTACATGTAGGTAAATTTAAAAACTTAGTCAGTAAACTTATTTCTTGCCTCTATACAATAGTGTCCAGAGGATATGATTCCGATAGCAAACAATGCTAAAGGAATAAAATTAGAAGTAATTGCTTGGGTTATTGGTGGTGCCAGTTTGTTTTTTCTACATAATGAAAGATTAGAATGCCAAAACCAGGAGAAGATATTAGATAAGATTTTGACCATTTGTATAAAGTAAAAACTAATTACCTTCTTGTAGCTGTTTTAGCTACTAGTAATATCTTCAATTTTTATAGATAGTGTTCCAGTTCACAAGCTCATCACGAAAATTGGTGAAATTTGTAACACCTCAGTAGTGTGCACCAGCGACCCCGCCAGGGATCGAACCCGCAACCTTCAGGTTTCGTGGCCAGCACGTTACTATGACCGGTGGAGGCAAAGCTTGATGGTCTTGAGGACAGTTACTCAACGATGACATTGCATGGTGGTTGCACTATATCGTGAGCTAACAGAAGTTGGAAATATGGACCACTGGATTCTGACCCAGTGGCTCAATGATAACGTGCTGGCCACGGGATCTGAAGGTCGCGGGTCCGATCCCTGGAGGGGCCGTGGGTCCGCACTGCTGAGGAGTCCCATACTAGGACGAGACGGCTGTCCAGTGCACCTAGGTTTCCTTTGTTCCTCCAACTGATGTCAGTCTACAATGAATAACAACTTGAAATCTTTCCAAATCCCCACAACTCTCTCAAAATTTGTAACAATAAATTAATTGTGTAAATGAGAGATCGTCCTTTTTTCTTCTATTATTATAAAGATTCTGCAGCGAAAATGAAGGTTAGTAACTGTCATATGATTTATTTATTATCTGTTAACTAGAAAGAATTATCTCAATCCATAAAATGACTAAGGTCGGAAGTATGCATTGGGGAAATATTGATCATAACAACACTCTTGTTATAAGGTTAAAGGTCAGACCCAAAGAAATAATTGCAAGATAAAATGGAGAATAAATTATAAACTACCTAAATAAGTAAACACAAGTTAAATATTTACAGTTTCTCTGGATTATGGTCATGGATAAAACTAACAATACTGATGTCAGAGATATTCATAAGTGTTTCGACTCAAAAACAGTTATGTTCATCAACCCGAATGCTAACTAGTGTCTTTAGTTTGGCTGGTTGTGGCTAGCAGAAGAATCCAGGATGCGAGTTTCGTCCTATTTGGGACTCATCAGCTGGATGTACCTGCAACTCAGTGGTGTTGTCCTTGATTCTTCTGCTAGCCACAACCAACCAAATTATCATAATTAACATTCATGCAATATCAACGCACGCATAGGAACCCATATGCCAATAGAGGTTGAACAATTCTATCCAACAAAACAACGGAGAATAACAAGTATGTCGATAAATAGTATCTTTAGTTTTGAAGATCCTTTAAAATGATCTTTTGGTAAGTTGATATATTTAGGAAACACTTATCAATTGGTAATTACTATCATATTAAAGTTCCTTGTATAAATTACACTTGAAACATTAGGTTGTGCAACATGGTTACTCAGGTAGCTGTAATAGCTTTAAAGTATTTCTTACTGGACAAAAAGTACATTAGAGACAACTAACATAAATTGACAGACGTACGTTTTGAAAATTTCTGCTCTATTCAGAAGTATATGAAATTAGTTTTGCTGGAAAAATAGATGTTAACTCCTTCTTATCTGAGAAACCAAATGCATACGCAATAAAGACTCTATCAATAGCTCGGAGTAAAGCCAGTTACATATAATAAGTTTTCAGATATTCTGTCTTGATGAGAGACAACAAGTGTGAAACTTTGACCAGAGAACTGATATATATTTTCCATATATTTCTCATTTTGTTTACTTCTTCTAGTGCCATGCACACGTCATTTCAGAAACTAAGTCAGAAGTTTATCACTATGGATGTAATCAGTTTATCTTTACGAGCCAATTTGCTTTATGATTACTAGTTTTAGTGTACATTCCTGATTGTTCTCTGGTCCCCAGCTATTTTCAATATCTCTACGAGAAACTGACTACCTTTTACCCAGTCAAGCTCACACTCAGTCCCATCGAAATTCATATGGCAGTAAAAAGTATTTTACGAGACTTCAGTCATCGATAACCCAAGCAATCGGAAAAAGTTCTCCTTACTGTTCAAAGGTTGTCGGGAAAGCATTGTATTTTACCATTTGAAACACGAGTTCCAGGTGGTGGTGGTGGTCGATTCAAGAGCTTTTTGAAGTGGTCAGCTCATCGTTCCCTTTGGTAACTAAGTTACCTTCACTATCTCTCATTGCTTTTGTCTGCGTTGACCTCTTCCCAGATGGTAGGCTGGTTATTTGATGTAGTGTTGTCTGGTCTCTCCTACCAGTAGTCTGCAACTTGTTCTGCTTCTCTTTCAAATGTGTTGTGGAAGTGTGTTTTGTCTTTGCTCGCACTCTTCTTCACTTCGTTGCCCATTGTTTTGAAGGTTATATTCAGTTCCTCTTTTTGCCGTTCATCCCTGCACTAGTTTATCTTCTGCTCCACCATCTTCCTCTCCCTCCTCTATCAGCTTCCATGTGTCCGTCGAGATCCACTCGATTCCTTGTCTTGTTTATTCTTCCTTCTTAATACGGTTATGTAGGCCTCTTTTCATGTCTCTTTCAAAGAGTCCCCTCGTTCTTCCACGCCCGATCATTCAGGGATGTTGCTTAATATCTCCCATTTTGTCTTAATGGCTGACTGACGTGAAGATGTCCTTCGTAGTTTCGTCCCCCGGTTTCTGTCCTGGATGTTGAACTTGAACTGTGGTCTATCACCAACTTCTTTGAATTGAATGCTTTCAACTTTATTTTGAAGATAGGTTCATTCCAACAGACAGTGGTGTGAGTGGTGTGAACCTACATCTACTCCTCTTCCTCATCTTGTGTCCAGTAGACTGAATTTCCATCTCCACTTTCTTCACATTGAGATGAAGTCGATCTGATTTTTAGTGTGTCCTGGTATCTGGTGAAATCCATGTCACTTTGTGGATATCCTTGTGTTTGTACACACTACATCGCCTCCAATCACAAAATAGTTAAATGCACAGAAGTCTGCAAACAGTTTTCCGTCTTCATTCATTTCACCGAGTGCTTCTCCACCCATGATTGCTTCTCCTCCTGTATTGTCTGCTCCCAGTCTAGTATTCATTTCATCCATTAGAATTGTGATGTAGCCAACTAGGGTGGTGTCTTATCCACTACTGATTGCAGTTATCTGTGGAATTCCTCCTCCTTCTCTTCATCTGCATTATTTGTAGGTGCATAATGTAGCATTGTATGATTGTGACTTTCCTTCCTTTTGGTTTGAATCTTGCTGTCATGATCCTGGTACTGGGGAGATTGGTTCCCATTGCATGACAGAGAGCCTTCAATGCTGTTGAGGACA